CAAAGCAGCTGGAATTTGTGAGGAGAAATTCTAGAAAGGCTAGAACCACTGAAGGAATAGTTCATGTACACAACTCTTCCATTCAGAGACCCAGAGAAAGAGAGGGCTGGAAGGCTGAAAAGGGCTCCTGGTTAGAATTCACATTCTGTCAAATTAAGAGAGTTTGGATAACACTCCTTGGGGCTGGGTAAACCCTCACACAGTCCACTGATCCTCTCAAGGGTTACACATTTCAGAACTAAGGATTCTCTACCAGGACCAAATTTTATGTTGGGCTAAGGGTACAACAGAAGCTTCAACCTGAGCCTTCACAGGATCAAGGCGGTCTGCCAGGAATAAAACTGTCTACTAGGACAAGAGGAGTCAGCACACCTTAATGAAAGAAAAACTTTACATCCATCAGCCACAATGTCCAGTCAATAGTTCAAAGCTACTGCACATATGAAGTAAAAGGAACTTAAATCTATAGTCAAGAGAAAGAGCAGTTAATAGAAACATACCCACTGACATACAGATGCTGAGAACCAACTGACAAGGATGTTAAGAAACTGGTAAAGGCTGGGAAGGTGGCTCAGTGGTAGAGCACTTGCCTTCCATGCTCAAGGCCCTGGGTTCGATTCCTCAGCACCACATAAGCAAAAAGAAAAAAGCCGGAAGTGGCACTGTGGCTCAAGTGGTAGAGCACCAGCCTTGAGCTGAAGAGCTGAGGGACAGTGCCCAGGCCCAGAGTTCAGGCCCCACGACCGGACCCAAAAAAAAAAGAAACAAACTGGTAAAACACATCCTCAAAATATGTATTTTATAAACAGTGAAACTCACAACCTGCCTCATAACTCACTTACCTCTAATATCCCAGTGAACTTGAGTAGCTCATGACTTTTAATCAAAATAGGATTTGGAATGGTTTATATCTGAAAGCCTGGAGCAAACAATGTTTAAGTAATTAATTATATCCAAAGTTAATTACATATTTACACCTCTCAGAAGGACAAGGAGAAAATAAAATGCCTTATTTTTCTGTAGAGAGCGGCTTTATTAAGACCTGACAGCAATGCCTGAGCAGCAATAACTGAGTTTTATTCAATATCCCACAGGTCCTTCTTGTCTGGAATCATGATCTTCATGATCACAGACTGACAGGGTACTTAGGATCCTAACAGTGAGAAATAACATCTAACATCTGAGCTGTGTACAAAACTCATTTAAAAGTACTTATCCTCCTCTGCCAAAATGATCTTATTGAGAGTTTCTAGAATTTCTATAAACAATCATTATATTTTAGCTGAATCAGTAGCATAATGCCATTTTAGCAGGTAGTCAAATGCCTCCTACTTTAAAACAGTCCCACCCATCCCCCAAAAAGGATTTGGCTTCAACATTTTTTTCTTAATCCACAAAGCAGTCTCATGAACAAAAAGATAACCACATGCCCTGCATGCCCGATGTAATTTTTATAAACCTGCTGTTATAATATGTATTTACTATTATGTAAAAATATTTGCTGAACAAGTTAGAATACCTTCTTTGGGGGGGGGGGGGGGCGGGGAGCACCTAGTTGAATGAATGAAGCCAAGTGCAAAGTAATTTTGCTTACACACACAGAGTGTGTGTGTGTTTGTGTGTGTGTGTGTGTGTGTGTGTGTTGGTACTGGGGCTTCAACTCTTACTTGGTTTCTTTGCTCAAGGCTGGTGTTCTATCACTCCTTTCCCATCTCTACTTCCAAAATTTTGCTGATTAACAGGAGATAAGCATGGACATTCCTACTTGGGCTGGCTTTGAACCCTGATCCTCAGATCTCAGCTTCCTGAGTAGCTAAGATTACGGGTGTGAGCCACCAGTGCACAGCTTTGGGTTATAACTTTGCTTAAGATTCTGTAAAGTTGGTGCAGCTTTGGGGAATGAAAGGTTCGGCCTCTCTGGAAGTGTTCTTACTTCTTTTCCTGTGTCCATCCATGACCCTAAAATTCCCTTCATGAAGGTAAACACTCTCTTTTCCTAAGTTCTGCTGTTTAGATTGGTCACCCAAAATGATGGTTTTGTCAAATTGTTTTCTTACTCTCCCTTTCTCAGGAAGCGTTTCCCTCACACACAACAGCTGGATCATGTGTGAGGGAGACACTCAGCACTGGACTCCTAAGTGCCCATCCTTTCAATGGTTCACAGGTGGCTGAGGACAGCATTCAGGCTGCTCCCATTTTACCAGCCACAAAGTGAGTAGTGGCTTCCAATTCTTCTAGAACTTGAAGGCAACCCTGCCTTCCTGACCTTGCTTACAGAGTGTGAGACTAGAAACTCACAAAACTACTTCTCATCCTAAGTGACCCTTGGTGTCCTCTCCTAGTCAGCATGCAGATATTATCATCCCTTAGCTACCTTCTCCTCATGCCAGACCATAAATATACAGGCCAACATTTAGAACCTATGTGAAACTCTCACTATACAAGTCACCAAGTTGAATTCTGTCCAAATTAACTTGTTACTCTGTATGGTACTGGCAACCTGGATACTACATGAGGAAAATAAATTCTTATTGGAGAGAACCAATAACTATTTAAAACACACGTGTGTGTGTGTGTGTGTGTGTGTGTGCACACACGCACGTGTGATATATACTAAAGCCAGGTACTGGTGGTTCAAACTTGTAATCTGATCTACTCAAGAGGCTGAGATCTGAGGATCTTGGTTCAAAGCCAGACTGGGCAGACAAACCCAAGACACGTTATCTCCAATTAACTAGCAAAAGACAGAAGCAGAGCTATGGCTCAAGTGGTAGAGTACCTAGCCTTCAGTGAAAAAGTCAACCGAGAGAGCATGAGGCCCTGAATTCAACCAACACCAGTACAAATAAAATAAAATACACATTACCAGGCAATAACTATGAACCACATACTACAGTAGGTATTAGTATTGCAAAAATGTCTAAGACCATGACCTTGGAATCTACTTCAAAAACAATTACAAAAAAAAAAAAAAAAAAAGCCAACAATGATCACAATGTAATGGGCTAACTACCACAAGAGAGCTGACTAAGAGAATAAAGCAAGCAAGTTGGCACCAGAGCCTTAAAGGGATTATAAGATTGCAGTGGCCCACTCCAAAATATTTAGTTCCCTCCCTTATTATCTTCAGTTGTATTTTCGTTCTTAGGGGAGAATGCAACACATGTTTTTTCCAGCTAGAAAAATCTAGTCAGAAGCCCATAATCAGTTACATAAAAATCTTTCATCTCCAATGTTATCCTTATTCCAATCCAAACAATTGTTAAGCTCTACTGTCATCACAACTTAAAATATTTTCACTTTGTTGAGAAAAATTACTTCTGACTTGGAAAAAAGATTCTCATTTATGATATTAAAGAACTTAAGTTCTAAGCCGGGTGATAGTGACTCACACCTATAATTCTAGCTACTCAGGAGCTGAGATCTGAGGATCATGGTTCAAAGCCAGCCCGGGCAGGAAAGTGCATGATACTCTTATCTCCAATAACCACTAGAAAACCGGAAGTGGTGGTACGGCTCAAGCGGTAGAGCACTCCCTTAAGCTGAAGAGTAGAGCACTCCCTTAAGCTGAAGAGCGCAGGGACAGCACCCAAGCCCAGAGATCAAGCCCCATGACAGACCAAAAAAAAAGAACTTAAGTTCTGATGTCAGACTAGATAGACATAATTAGAAAAAAAAAGTCATAATTATATTTAGAAAAAATAAGACAGGGGCTGGGAAGGTGGCTCAGTGGTAGAGCGCTTGCCTTGCATGCATGAGGCCCTGGGTTCGATTCCTCAGCACCACATAAACAAAAAGAAAAAAGCCGGAAGTGGAGCTATGGCTCAAGTGGTAGAGCGCTAGCCTTGAGCTGAAGAGCTGAGGGACTGCGCCCAGGCCCAGAGTTCAGGCCCCACGACCGGACCCAAAAAGAAAAAAAAGAAAAAAGAAAAAATAAGACAGATTTCATATTACCAAATCTTATTTCACTGAAAGACACAGGATACATGTCATCACCAAAATTTTTCAACTGAAGTAAAAGAAAAAACATGATTTATAGAAGTAGCTCAAGAGGTAGAGTGCCAGCCTTGAATAGAAACAAACAAGTGAGCATGAGGCCCTGAGTTCAAATCCCAGTGCTAGTGCATGGAGAAAAAAAATCCAACCTATTTATAAAATTATCCTACAGCCTTCCTCAAACAAAAAGTCTGGCTGAATATATGATTAGAGAAAAAGAAAAACATATTCTTGAGTCAAGAACTATCCTATGAGCTGAGTGCCGGTGGCTCATACCTGTAATCCTTGAGATTAAGAACTATGGTTTGAAGCCATGGAAAATCCATGAGACTCTTATCTCCAAATAACTGACAAGCTGGATATAGAACAATGGCTCAAGTGATGGAGCACTAGCCTTAAGCACTAAAAGTTCAGGGACAGTGCTCAGGCCCTGAGTTCAAGCTCTGGAACTGGAACGCATGCACACACACACACACAAATTTTCTCAGTCCTGTGTCCTGCCTTCATCCAGAATGTTCCTCCATATGATGATATTCTTTCCTTACCCTGTCCTTTATGCATGCATACATTTTCCTCCTTTACAGCCTCACCTCTGGAATTGAGCTTTTTACACTAGGAAAAAAATGGCCTGTGACTCTAATATTCACTTATACTGGGAAAAATTAAAGTTAATATCTATTTGGTTTGATTTAAAAATCATAGCTAACATAGCTAACAAGTTAAGGGAGGGAGATTTGAAGGACATGCCTTAAAGTAAGACAATGTAAGACAGCATATTCAAAAGGCCAGTGCTGAAAAGTCATTCATAACGTTAATGGTAAGATAGTAACAGTTCTTGTTATCCATTCCTCTGACAGCCACATTCTTCCTCACCACCCACAAAAACTGTACCAGAGAGGTTTAGAACCAGTAACATTTCCCAGCAGTATTAAAAATAAGAGAGAATCAAATCTTGTTCAGTGTCCCATTGTGAAAAGAGAAAATATATGATGAGAAAAACGTACTTGCAGTATCCAGTGCCATTGTGGTAGGTAATACAAATTCCTTTATTTACACAGGGCTCTTGGTCATCTCGACACTGCAGTGCTAAAGTAAAAAAAGAAACATACATTAGAAATATAAGGGGCTAGGCATATCCCTCAGAAACCAAAATGTGATCCACATTCACATTCATTCCCATATTAAATCTGATGTAGGTTTCCCTTTAGAGTTTCAATCAGCTTTTCATCTTTTGGCTTCTAGAGTTATAGAAGCACCGAGGCTATCCCCAGGGTCAATTCTGACATTAATTGTTTTCATGGTCTTGGAAGTTCCTAGTTCTCTGGATTTCAATAGCCCTGGCTGCAACCTTCTCTCTCCCAATGACAATATGAGCAAATCTGTGCCATAGCACAACCACCTTGGGATTTAGATACTACAGACGACAACGTAAGAGTTCAATGAATGTTTTAGGAAGACCCGAATAAATACAGGGTTACCGTATTAAGGAGTGACCTGGCTTTAGGTAAAGTTTTAAAACAAGCCACTTCAGCAAGAAATCAGAAACACCAACAATATTCATTCAAAAAACTAAAGTTGAGAACCTAACGTACAGTATATTAGGATCCAGAAGAAAAAAAAAAGGAGAATTTGAATACACAGGTAAGTGAAGGAAATATAATGAGAGTCAAGGCTCTCAAAAAGACAAGGAGTAGATCATGAATAGAAACTGTAGAGGAATGGAATCAGAGATAACAATGAGATAATTTAATATGTACAGAAAACGTGAAAAATTCTCCAATTCTTCATTCCCCTGGTCCCTTTGAGAGACAACAAAATTTCTCCCAAAATCAGACTACTATAGGGAGGGGAAAAAAAAGCTGCACTAGTGAAAATTTTCATTGATTTCAGCCAGGAGAGGAGAAAGTCTACCAAGGCATACCACACATTTGTTAAATGCTTAAAATGGCTTACTTATTTTGCTTCTGGGGTTGAAATTTTCATTATTAAAATGAGTATCAAAAATCCTAATGAGGGCTAGGAATATGGCTTGGTGGTAGAGTGCTTGCCTAGCACTCTAGGAATCAAAGTCCTGGGTTCAATTCCTCAATACTACATAAACAGAAAAAGCCAGAAGTGGCACTGTGGTTCAAGTGATAGAGGGCTAGCTTTGAGCACAAAAAGGCTCAGGGACAGAGCCCAGGCCCTGAGTTCAAACCTAATGACAGTGGGGTGCCAGTGGTTCACACCTGTTATCCTAGCTACTCAGGAGGCTGAGATCTTAGGATGGTGGTTTGAAGCCAGCTAGGGCAGAAAAGTTCCTACTCTTCCCTCTCCCTCCCCCTCCCCCCGTAGGGCATGGGGCTTGAACTCTGAGCTCTTCAGCTCAAAGCCAGCACGCTAACACTTGAGCCACAGTGCCACTTCTGGTTTGTTTTCTAAGTTCCTACTCATCTCTCCAATTGACCCCTCAAAAACCAAAAGTGAAGCTGTGGCTCAAAGTGATAGAACACTAGCCTTGAGCAAAAGAGCTCAGGAATAGAGCTCAGGCCCTGAGTTTAAGACCCACAACTGACCCCCTCCCAAAAAGAAAGTCCCTAATGAGAAAGAGTAAGTTGGGGAGTTGAGTGACAATTTTGAAAGGTGTGACACTGATCAAGATGCATTATGTTCATAAACTACTTTGTTTAGTGGCAAAACTCCTTTTACAACTAAAGATAATAATAATATGTAAAATAAGCTAAAAAAAGAAAAAGAAAACCTTAATGACCTCTGGAAAACCAAGCCAAAAAGAAAACTACTTTAATAGTTAAAAGCTGAAATTCATAAACTCTTTCTTAGAGGCCTCTTAAGATGTTTTAGAATAATTCATGTATAAATACTTGAAAGGAAATCAATCCAAGAAGTTCCCATGTAGCCACATCATTCTATACATAAACTGCAGAATCACAGGGGCTGGAGGTGGGGCTCAGTAGCAGACTAGCTAACATGCATGAGACTGAGTTCAAAAGGCAATACCACCAAAAACTAGTAATAGCAATAGCAGCTAACACAGTGCACCTCCTAAATCCTGAGTGCTGTCTCTTGAGTAGTTTACATACTAATTCCACCTTCACAACAACCTAAGGAGCAGTTACTGTCATTAAACTTACTGCACACGTGAGCGAACTCTGAGGGTTAGTGACCTGCCTACTGTAGCAATGAACCAGAATCGGACCCACCAGCCTGAATCTAGGCTGCGGTCCTAACTACCTGACACTTTTCTTCTTCAGGGCAGGGTAGGTGTTGCTGTACCCATTTATTTACCAGAAAGTGAAGGCCAGGGAAGTAAAGGACCTGCTCATGGGGCATCTGATCTCTAGCTGGTGGCAGCACTGAGCCTTGGACCCAGGTTTGTCACTAAGCCCAACCCATCTCTGAAAAAGCACCCCCCCACCCCCCCCCCCACCCCCGGCAGATTCAGGAAGAGGGTCATCTTGTCCACATCCCACTTCCCTGTAAGGCTCAAATGCTCCCTCTTCCCACACTGATAAGCCCAATGCAACAACTATAATTAAAACAGTTAATGTCAGGTTATTTCCTCCATACCAAAGCACTTGAACTGATTTTTTCATCCTCTTTAGACATTTTTATTAGTTTCAATGAGAACTTCCTGGCTTTTCTCTATTTGCTTTTTTTTTTCTTTAAATAAAAGGGAAAATCTCTCAGTAGGAAAGGAATTTTCTGCAGGCATAGGGATCCTGAGGGGATCAGAAGACCTGAGTCCTGCTTCCTCTACCACTACCTAGCTGGACAACAGGCAAGGCACAATCTGACAAGGGGCTCAATTCCCTACCTGGAAACCAATCTGAGGATAGACTAAACCCCTGGGAGTTACCTGTGCTCCAACAGTCACACTCTCCTCAATAAGACAAGCCAATGGCATGCGTCTGCCTGGAGGAATCTATCTGGGAGGGTGTAAGGACCCAGCCACCCATGACTCAGAAAATCACAGCCCGTTCCTATTAAGTGTCCTGGCAAATCATTACAGTGACAGGTTCAGAGAAATACAAACAACCCAAAGTCAATATGTGGCAATCAACCCAGCAAATGACTTCACAGTTTAGCCTTAATGAACCAATCCAATTCAGCAGCCCAAAAGGAGGTGGGCTTACCAGGCTAATAATTAATGCTATTTGGCTGATTTGTGAGCTCATGCTACCTTGAACCTTTAACATTTACTAAGCCATAGTTCTCAAAGCTTAGTACACATCAGAATCACCTGGAGGGTTTGTTAAAACAGTGCTAGATCCAACCCCTGGAGTTTCTGCTTGAGTAGGGCTAGAAGGGGCCTGAGAATCTGTATCCCTAACAAGTTCCCAGGCCACGCTGACCATACAGGCCTAAGCAGCCACACTGAGAACAAATACACTAATACCTGACATGAGTGCTCACTTAAAATTCCAGAACTATTCAATGCACTAGTAGAGGTCTTGGATGAACCTGCCTGAATAAACAAAAGAAAAAATAAAATAAAATAAAATTTGAGACTCATAATTTCACTTCAGGGCTATTGCTAAGTGAATACTTTATTTGCTACACAAAGAAAAGCTAAAACTTTTAATAACCCAGCTGGGTACAAGTGACTACACCTGTATACCTGTACTCCTAGCTACTCAGGCAGCTGAGATCTAAGGATCACAGTTCAAAGACACCCCAGGCAGGAAAGTCCATGAGACTCTTATCTCCAACTAACTAGCCAAAAGGCCAGAAATAGAACTATGACTCAAGTGGTAGAGCACCAGCTTTGAGTGAAAAAAGCCAAGAGCCCTGAATTCAATCCCAGTACACACACATACACATACACACACATACACACAGCCTTTGATAACCCAAGATAATGGTAATATTCAGGAAAAAAAAAATCTCATTTCAAAATTCAACTGTCTTTTCTTTTCCTTTTTTTTTTTTGGTTGGTTGTGGGGCTTGAACTCTGGGCTTGGGCCCTGTCCCTCAGCTCTTCAGCTCAAGGTGAGCGCTCTACTACTTGAGCCACAGTGCCACTTCTAGTTTTCTAGTGGTTTATTGGAGATAAGAGTCTCACACACTTTCCTGCCCGGGTTGGCTTTGAACCATGAATCTCAGATCTCAGCCTCCTGAGTAGCTAGGATTACAGGAGTGAGCCACCCGCACCCAGCTCAATGTCTTTTCTTAACAGAGTAAAACACTGAATAATAAAATTGAAGGCAGTTTCACAATTGTAAAATCAGTGAAATGCTAAATCAAGTCACAAAGGACTAGTGCTTAAACCAAGGCTTTAATAAACTCTGAGAAACTAGTTAGAGAGTGACATTTTCCCAAATTTCCTTCTTATACCACACACAGAGTGAACACTCAATAAATATTGGCTGAGCAAAATCAATCTTACATACTGTGTCTGTGTATCTGTTTGTGCATGTCTGTCCATCCCCCTAAAAAAACAGCAGAAACAAAGAGAAGTAGTGGATTCCAATCTCATCACTTCATCACTTGGCAACAGGACACAAAATCTAGAAGCTTATTTCCAATTTTCACACGTTTTCAGTGCAGTATGTTTGGAGACTGGCTTTCTAATATTCAGAACACACACACACAAAGCACCTGCTATGGGCAGGAGCAGGCCCTGAGGTCTTGGATGCCACCATGGTTCATAGTATAGAGTTCCTATCTTCATGAACTTCACTTTTCTCAGGGAACAAAATGGATAACAAGCGAATGAGTAAAGAAAGTCACTTCAGTGAAATGTTTAGGAACAAACAGCAATGAGATGCAAGCAGTTCAGAAGGCAAGGATGTGGAGATGCTTCAGAGGGCATGGGAAAGGCTTGCCTGCGGAGAAACTATATGAGCTAAGACCAAAGTGAAGAGGATCATAGAGACAGAGAAAGAGCAGCAGCCAGGGAAACAAGGGTAATGTCTGGCCTTAAAGAATGAAACTAGCAGCAGGAGTTAGGTCATAGAAGGCCCTGATAAGGGTCACAGCTTCTTCTCTGAGGGGGAGGGTAAATTACTGCACCGTAAAGGAAATTTAAATTTTAAATTTAAATTAAGTTTAAATTAGAATGTGGTATCAACAAATGGAATATATTC